ACAGCGCGGTGGCTAGAAGTCCTCTTAAGGTTGAGGCTAGATTTACAAAATGACAAAATATAACACTACATGCTACAGACAAATATGAGACTCAAAATATTACATACTTTTCATCACATTATTTTTCTTACCCTGCACAAAAGTTTACATCTGTCAATTTTTTCTAGAGGCCAAGAATTTCAAAAATTTTACAATACATAGATAACCTCCTAAACATAAAGGTAGAAGTCAGGTTATCAACCTAAAAGCTACAAGTTTTGCTAAATAAAACACCAAGTGCACCAGAAATTGTTTACAACCAATGGTAGCCAACTAAAAATAATGTGATGAAAAGATGCCTAAAAATATATGCGAAAAGTACAATTATCTATAATCAAGAGAACGTTAAGGATATCTTACTGTTGTATAACAAACATGGAATGGCTATAATTATCAATCAACAAAAGGCCATGCTTAATGAAACACATCAGCAGCTTATGTGAACCTAAAATTCAAATAATTGCTTTCTTGTAAGGATTATCATGTCCTCTCAATAAAGTCCTCAAATTACCCCACAAAGAACGTTGTCAAGCGTATCAAATGTTACCTGCCAGACCCAACTAAATTTTGACATAAAATAGCCAGATGAGTAAATGGATAAGACTTATAGAAGGGAGAAACATAATAAGTTGATTTAGGAAGACCTTTTTTATTTTTTACTACTAGACATATTTTGAATTTTCCCTGTTTACGTAGCAACCTAGGTTTCTTTCTTGCTTTGAAAGAAGCTTATTCCATTGCTGGAAGTAGTTTCCAATATGCCAATTGGGGGAGAACTTGTCTATACATTTAATTCTCTAAGGGGGTGTTTGTTATGATTTTTTTTTGGGATTTCAAAATGGGATTTGAAATCCATAAATGATGTGGCTTTTAGGATTTGAAATCCATAAAGGGGGTTGTGTTTGCTTCAACAATATTTTGGGATTTGGAATGCTAAAACTTGTAATATTTTGTTTGTTTCATCAATATTTTGGGATTTGGAATACTATAAATTATATATTATAATATTATATAAAATTTTAATAACATATATTATATAATATATAATATATATATATAATATTATAGATATATTATATATTTTATATATAATATATAATATATATAGTAATATATAAATTATATATTATTTTATATAATTTATATAATTTATATTATATATATATATATATATATAATGATATGGCTACAGTAATTAAGCATGCAGCATATGATATATAATATATAATGATATATAATAATATATATTAATATATAATATATATATATATATAATATATATATAGTATACTATTATATATTATATATAGTATTTTATATACCGTGTGGTTAAGAATAGTATATATATTTATATGTATATATATCAGTAATATAGTTATATATTATATATAGATTATGATATCATTATGTAATATATATATATATAGTATATTATATTATATATAAAATATTATTGATATATATGATGAAGGTATATTATTAGTATCTTATAATATATATATTAGTATTATGATAATATTTATAGTTATAACTATACGATAGATTATAATATTATATATAGCATATTATATATAGTCTCCTATAAATATAATATTATAATGATAAAGGAAAGGTTTTTTTTTTTTTATAATATTATATAGATACAGTAGTGTAGTTGATAATAGTATTAAGATATATATTATATATATATATTAATATTATATTATAGTATAAAAATTATATATAATTATATGATATATATATTTATATTATATATAGTATAACGTTATATATGATATAGTTGGATATTGCAGTTATATAGCTGGAAATAAAATATAATTTATACTAGTAGCAGTATTATATAGGTATATGAAATTATATAGCTATATATAGGTATTATATATAAAATACAGTAGAGGTGTTACTAGCAGCATGAACAGTGATATATAAAATAATATAATATTTGTATATTAGTATATATATAAATATATAGTATATATATATATATTGATAAGGTATATAGATAGTATGGGATATATATAGATATTATTATATATAATTAAATGAATTAATATTGATATAAATAGCATATATAGATATAGATGATATATATATATAAATTATATAATCATATAGTATATATCAGTGCTACAGTAATTTACTGACAGGCATGAACAGTGATATATACATATATAATATTTTTTATATTATATATATATATATATTATATTATATATAAAGTAAGTATACTATATAGTATTAGTCTATATATATAATTATATAGTTTATATATATTATATTATAATATAATTATATATATTATATTAGACTATACTATATATTTATATAGGTATATATATATATATAATACAATATATATATATATATATATATATTATATTATATATATATATATTAAATTATATATATATATAGATGTATTATATTAAATATTATATTATTATAATATTATATATAATATATTAATCTTATATTAATCTTATATTATAAGCATTAATACATCAATATCCAACCCACATCCTCTCTCAAGTGTAGAATTTCACAAATGCCTAAATATAATAGTTTTTAATATTTTGGGATTTGATATCCCAAAATTGGTTTTGAAACAAACAAAGTTATCGATTTCTAAAACCTTATATCCCAAAAAAAAGATGGAAACAAGAGAGAGGATTTCACAAATCCTAATAAAATATTATTGTTTTATAATTTAGGGATTCAATATCCCAAAAAAAAAGTGAAACAAACAAAGTTATGGATTTTTAAAACCACAAAAAAGCACTTTTTACATCCCAAAACTATCATATCCCAAAAAAAAAGCAAAACAAACACCCCCTAAGTGCATTTCAGCCCTTGGAAAATAGCAATGCATCAATGCAAATAATTTAAATACATGAATGAAAAACATCTTTTATAATATATGTACATGTCCAGACCAATCAAACCAGCTGGCTTATTGACCATTCGGATGACTCAGACGGTTCTTCTATATTCTTTAAATGGAGCATCAAAGCATCCAGTTCCCACAGAACCCATTTTTAGCAGCCAGACTGTTACGTTTTTTTTTAAATCATTGGTTCAGAGAGGAGTCACTGCTTGCAGAGAAAATTGATGAATGATCAAAGTTATTAAATAGTATATCAGAAATTACATTTTTTTAAACCTATCCTCACAATGTAAAGTAAAAAATTAAATAGTTCATATCATGTTGTAGACATATCTGTGTGTGGACCCACAAAAGCACAGGGTTGGCTTGAATCCTTTACGAAGTTAACTGGATGAAAACATTCTGACCTAAATTTAATTTATCATCCTTCAATATTGAAACTTCACACTAATGGATATGATTCGCAGTATGTAAACTACCTTGGATGAAAAACAAATAGTTGATATGTTATCATATACATGTCTGTGTCTGTACACATAAGAACACATTGCTGAGCCTGGATGTCTAAATATAATTACTGGCCTCCAGATATGAATTCACGCCATTAGTTGTGATCCACATATATAAACTATCAGCAAAGAATATTCTCAAATGTTTTTCTCATGGATCAAAGTTACAAAATATCCACAAACTCAACATATTTAATTGCTTCTTAAATGATCCATTTCTAATGTATCAAGTTACCCAAATTCATTCAATATTTAATTATAGAGAAGTTAGGTTCAAATAAATACCTTTTAGAACCACAGTTGCAAGGAATCTTCTGTTCTTCCAATGGAAACTTGTAATTGTAAGTAAGTTCTTCACCAGCATATATGTATCTTTTCGCATAGATAAAAATCTTCTTCTGACCCTCAACAGTTATCACCTTGGTATAACAGTTAGGCTGTGAAAGAAATAACAAAGTATAACATTATGCAGGTCTGAGTTAGTTAAAAAAGTGCCTGATTCATTTTAATAACTTACGTCACATGAGTGATTTATAAACCTTGCTATTCCACCTCGCTTGGTAGCATCAACCTGGAAACCATAAGGCCAGCAATTAAGAAGCGTGATATCCAGCATTTGGAATTATATGGAAGGGGAAAAAACATAGTTCAAGAAACCTAGTTTAATATAGTAAAACAATGTCATAAGGTCAATAAAATCAATTTTCATGTAAATATACGTAGGTACCACCAAAACAAGATGTTGCTATCCTATCCAATTATAATTAGATTATGTAGACTGGAGAATAACTAGAAAATTAGTATGATGACCAAAAACAGGGCTCCTCCTGTGGAAACCTCGGAATATTTGGAATATATTACGATGAAGCTCAAAGTATATGCTACTGTTAAAGATATCTCCAAGAATATTAGTGTTTAGTAGCCACCATAACTAGCTGGGGCATAGGCAAGAGGTACTCCCCGCTGTCAGATGACTTTGCAAGTTACAAATACATCCAAAAATATAAATTATACTAGAACTGTCAAAAAGTTCATACAAGTTCTATTTACTCACCACATAACCATCATCCAATCTGAAAAGGTAACTGCTACCAATTCCCATCTTTTCGTATTGACACTCCCTTAGATCTGATATCTGTAAGAGACACTTTTAAGTCCAAATATAAATAACCATGGACGGGAAGTTGGACATGAAAAAAAGAATAACTTACCCGGCAGCGAACTAACTCCCCTACATATTCAATAACAAAATCTTCTGCATCAATTGGTTCAAGGGCGACCAGACCCCAATCATGTATACTGCTCCTTTGAAATCGTAACCTCTTCTTCCTTGCCTAAAAACAGAAAACCATTACCACAAAAATAAATCCGTTAGACAACCCTAGAAAAGAAAAATTAAAGCTAAAAAATTGGAGATACTAATAAATTGAACTGGTCAACTACCTGCAACTGATTGACCTTTAGAATCTCAGCACCCTCTGCAGCAGCTAGAAGATTCCGTAACTTAACCCTATTTGTTCTGGCAGAAGGGCCCTTCGTGTTGGAACGTTTAACATTACCCTCAAAAGACATATTCTGCAGGTTAGTAGCACGACTTCCTTTAGCGCGAGCCCTTTCTGATGGTAATGCATTTCGAGACCATTTACGCCAGTCCCAACCATTAATAGAAACCCGAGCACAGCCATCTGAATTGGGGCATGGAACTGATTGTTTTGAGGGATTCACCTTCTGCGTCTTCCGGCTAGTTTTTTTGACCACGGTCTTGTGTGAAAGTTTTGAAATCTTTTCAGGAACAACTAATGGTTCATAAATCTTAACCTTCCTCTTTAACCGCGACAGTCTTTTTGCTGCAAATTTTGGAAAAACCAGGAATAGCAAGATGAAATAAACACTAGAACTGCAGTGACCCATCTGTAAGTAAAATGCTGTAAACATGGACAGAAAGGTTCATATACATACAATTTTTGATATAACTAGAACAAAGTTCTTGTCCTTGTTGGGAGTTCAAATCAGGCCCGTTATCATCAACCACCTTCTCAGATTCATCTAGAACCCGTTCTAAAGCTGAAAGTTTTTTCATTTTCCCCTTAACATCTCTAGCAAGAACCTCCGCAACGCCGTTATTGGAATCATCATGATGATGAGAAAGACGATACTTTGAAAATCTTGATTTTTCTGCATTAAATGGAGGGAAAGAAAATGTATTTTCAATCTCATGACTCAGCTTCCTCAATCTCCGGTTTCTTTTCCTTGTACTGCTTGCACGACTTGCTTGCTCAGAGATGCTGGTCTTGCATTCAAGCTTAAGTTCCAAATGTGCATCTAATGTCCTCGATTCAGTGGATTCAGGCAAGGATCCAGACTTCTGCTGGTCACCTGAAATGTCATCCACCTTCTGAAGCAATCCAGACTGATCTGAACGCATGCAAGTTGATGAAGATCCAACCTTTTTCTTCCCCAGTTTTTTCCTACGAAAATATGTAAGCTTTTCTTTCATTAAAGCTGCATCTGGCACTCCTGAATTGTCCATAACCTTTGACCCTTCACTATGTTTCCCTATCCCTGATGCCTTATATGTAACATCCTGATATAACATAACTACCAGATGGTTAGTAAGACATCTATGAATTACTGCATATAAACAGGGTCTTTATGTTTGCAACAGTAAACATGAATCGCGACTGTTTAAAAAAATGACACAAAAGAGCGGAATTATCTGGAGGAAATTTCCACGCACATTGTTCAGATTCTTTCTCTGCCTGCTGGCATCAACGGAATCAGATTCATGATTTTCCAAAGCACTTCTTAAAATATGACTGCTATGCAGAGCATCATAAAGGAAAAAGGTTACAAACTCTTTGACAACTTCATCATGTAATTTTTGTCTGAAAACTGCCAATGTAACATATTTACTCATCAAAGGAACAGAGTCATCTCTCTTTGAAGGCCGAATCTTTGTCTTTTGAAATAAGGACACAGGAATAGAACAATGCTCTAATCCAGAGGGAGGCGGTTCACCAAAATCCTTGCCACTAGGCACACTTGCTCGAGGAAAATGCAATGTTTCGAATGCACGTGCTAAACATGCAGAGGGAGAAACCAGAGGTTCTGTTTAAATGATAGAATCATTAGAAATGATATTTCATAGACAATGTTTTCACAAAGATACGTAACATACCAGACGACTCCAACAGGGCAGATGGAGAAAGCAGAGGTTCTGTTTAAAACAAGAAAAGTACAACATTAGAAAAGATATTTCATACAAAACAATGTTGTTATGATAACAACGGACATACCAGATGACTCCAACACCAAGTCAGCAGAAAGATCAACAGTACTAGTTAAATCAGTCTGGATAGCAGGCACATTGGCCACCATCATTTCCTGAAATCATCAAAAAGAATTACACTAAACCTAAAGAAAAGGATCAATGAAGGTATCCGCCAGTCCACAGAACCATAGCAAAAAGGGAGCCATCAGTCTTCACATGTTTATGCAATCTCAAAAAGGATGGCAAGCATAAACATTAACACGTTATTCATCCTGCATAATGAAATGATATTATACAATAAGTATAACATGAATTTTTGTATACCTGATCCTTTGGACCTTCCATTGCCGAGTAAATGAAGTTTGTCAATTCCTCCTTCAGTATGTCTTCAAAGTACTCAAACAAGGAAGCTTTTGCTGATGTATATAGGTCATTCTCCAAAGTACTTTGGATCTCCACTAAACCATCAGATAAGGTTGATTGACAAATGATGTTTCCATTACTCTCAAGCTCCAACGAATTGGAAACTTGTGAAGTAGAAGGAGAATAAGCAGAAACATCAGATGTTTGCAATGCATGTTCAAATCCAGGAGGAAAGTCTATCTCAAAATTAGATAGACGTGGTTTAAGCGCAACCTGAAATATGAGAAGGCTGTGACAATGGTAGATAACATGGAATGGGAAAAACTAAAGTTTTTCAAAAGAAACTGCAGCCAAGAAAAATAAATGCATAAACCATACAGAGGTGGATGTTCCATTAACATCTACTTGCATCTCATCCATGTTCTCAAACCCAGGTGGAAAATCAGGATCACAGTCCAAAGGCTGCTGCACTTCAACTACCTAAAAAGCAATTAACATGTCACGGATGTGGAAAATGCAGAAATTTTTGACAAAAAAAACAATATGACAAAAGTTTCCAACTAAAGGAAGGGGAGAAACATAAACGTCTTGTTTACATTATCATTTGGCACCTCGTCCGTATTAGTCACGTCTTTCTTAGCAATAGAAACAGGATCAGTCACGCAAGCAGACCAGCGTTTTCCCTTGAGCCATTTATTACAATAATCAGCAACAGGATCATAAATTACGGCATTCCAGAGAACCTTCATACAGTCATCATAGGAAGTTCTGTACACCGCTAATAGAATATCTGAGAAATTATTAATGTTCTCAGACGTCAAAGCTCTAGAGGAAGACTCCACATGAGCTAAGCCTGTGTATGAATCAGGTGAAACATGAGAAGAAATGACATCTGTATTCCCAGTTATAGCAGATTTCTTTCTTGTAATCAAAGCTTTGGCCTGTGACAAGAAACAGAAACCAAACAACTATTACGAACATGATGAAAAGGTCATAGTATCAAATTCTCTCACAACTAGAAATTATGAACCTCTTTCTTTGAAGAGCTCTTAACGCTCTTAGACACTTCTTCACGCATCAAATGTCTCTGAGCCTTCTTTGAAGCCAAAATATCAGGTATGGTACTGCTGATAATTTCATCTAGCAAAACTCGCCGAGCTGCTTTCATTATTCCAGAGTGCAACTGAAAAGAGACATCCTCAGATACGTCAGATATGAAGCTCACAAGAGAACTAGTATCTTCACTGTTGATGTTTCCCTCTGCAGCTTTTAGCATGCCATCTTTGCTCCACATATCAACTAAAGTTGCAAGAGGGAATGGACCAAATTTATTTTCCACATGGTAGACCTGCAAAAGGGGGAGGAAGTGCTGAAATTTAAGCAAGCAAACCAGAAGAACTAAAACAGGACTATAGTAAATAGGACGTACGAGCTCAGATAAACTACTGTCAAATATGACTTGCAATAGACTCGCAAAACCAATCAGAGTTACAAACAAGCAATAACATGGCCATAAGCATTAAAAAGTTCAAACTCTTCTCAGCCAAAGATAGTAAATTAATACATAGCTTCCACTTTTTCATAATGAACTTTCCAGGAGTAACTCAAGTACTTCAAGCACAGACAGAAGGCTTCTATACAGCATTAATAAACAGTAAATTAATAAACAGTAAATAGAAGAAAATATTCTCCCAGGCTACTGAAATGTGACATAAAGGAAGATATCTGACATGGAGCACCTAAGGATTTTTCCTGACATGACATGGCATAGTTTACAGTTTCTCGTAATGCATCAAACAATAAGTCTTTAGGTGATCACAAATCACAACTATCTCTACGTGGTCAGATGCCTGCCAAATACCTGAATAGCTAATTTGTTATCATGTTGTTGACCATCTTCCTCTTGTTCGATCGAGACATCGGACAGCAATAGGAAAAAATCAGATAACAGAAGAAGTGACTTTCATTATTATAGACTCACATCTTGCTTTTGCTCCGTTTTGATCATAACGACCCCTTCATTTTTGGCCAATGTTAATATGCAGAGTGGCTGTGAGGGCAGTTACCATCCTCCGCATGCAACCATCATTAGTTGGCAATCAGTCTTGGTGATGTCAATCAGTAACAGAACTTATGTTGTGAGTATAGCAGTTATCCTTCAGCCATGAAAATAATTACCATCAAATGCATTACTGTCCTTCCACTCAACCTGAAAAAGCTCTGAAACTAACTCACCTTTCTAACCGTATAAATTGTAAATGGGGCTTGAACTATGCAATTTGATGCCCCAAGTTGCATGGATACAGATGGTGGTGCGGGACACAGAAAATTTGGAAAAGGTAGGGTATGGGACACAGTTGAAAAACATGGCTGAGAGCAATAGTTCTGAACTAAATACGCAAAGAACCATTTCAAATCACAGTTCTGAACTAAATATGGGCTGAAACGAAGCCAATCCTTATCCAACAAGTTTTACAAGTGGATTTGAAGTGTAAGTATATGTTGAAAAAGTGTATGACAATTGTTTTAAATGAAAACATGTATCGAATAATAGAGTACACATCTGAATAAATATATGCATTTATTCAAGAAATGTCGGGTACAAGTACGGGATGTGACGTGTACGGGCACGGTTTCATGGTAGAAGTACCCACGCAACATAGTTGATGCCACATATTTATGTTTTTCGGCCTCACAATTTCAATTGTATAAGTATAACCACCTTCCAATCAGGAATAATACTGTAAAATGATAGGTTTATTGCATTCTCTATTTGAAAATAACAAAGGATATATAAATATTACATTATCTCCATAAACCCTCTCCATGCACTCTGAAGTAAAAGAAATAGTGAAATTTCTTCCTCAGAACAGATACACAAATAAAATTACACGCCTCCCGCGCTATCATAAAACATATTTGAAACAACTATTTGAGCATTAGTCTATACGTAGTAATTCCAAGAGGCTAGGATTTTCTATGGTATTACAGAAGAATCAAAAGATATATTGAGGATATTAGAGCCTGAACTTGTAAATGATCAGCTATCTCACGTTTCCATATTTAAGAAAGATTCATACAAGTAAAATGAGGTTATTAGGATGGCTAATGTGAGATTACGATAATGATCAACAGTGACTTAGTGAAGTAAAAACACCATCACCCTTCAGGCTCGTCTCTTAATTTGTCCACCATGTTACTTGTTTCATTCAAAACAGAGCTAGGAGACATCCAGATACGACGAAAATGCATAAAATTGTTGTTACCAATGTAGAAAGATGATTAGAGAAAATTAGTGAAAATTTTAATGCAAAAAAACTATCCACGGTTGATAAGAATAGCTAATATTGCCGTCCTGTCTATACCATCAATTATTTATCTATGATATCCACCAAAATCTAAAGAATAAGTGGTTTGAATATCAATGTCATCAATATGACCAATTGAGTTGTCATATTCAAACAACAATTGTCATATTCTCTTACCATTAAAGAATCCTGAAGATAGCTGCTCTGATGCCAGTAAAGAAGTTCTGTGACAGAATGCGGCCCATGTCTTCTGCCTTCCTCATCCTCAAACATCCAGCATACATCTTCGCTTGACTACAGTAAATCCAAAAAGAAACACCAGAAAATAATTAGTAAATATAAGTAAGCTCCTAATGCATAACCATTAAAAGAAAAAAGGAACACAAAAGTAGAGAGATGAAAGGCATCGTTTGACTGAATCACAGAAGTAGATGAAACAAATAATGTCATTTTAACTAGCAAATACCACTGATAGACCCGAAGACCCAGAGTTGGGCAATCCTTGGGCTTCTTTTGGTGATTCACTACTTTGATCATTACAAATAACATGAGTTTCGGAGCCTTGACTAGTAGATCCGGAAACACTGCCTGTAAGATTATTAGTTACGCTCGGCACCGCAGTTGAAACATTTGCATCCCAGCAAGCATTTTCAGGCAAGTGCTTTAGATACTTCAAGGGTACTGCATTGATGATATTTCCATTTATTACAGGATAAACTGGAAGTTCTTCTGGCAAGAATCCTGAAGACAAACCCGAACATAGTTGTTCTCTGAGATAAGGTCCACACATCTGCCCGTGTTCACTGAAGTACATCCATCCACTCACCGAGGAAGACTGAAAGTATTCACCGTTTTTACTGCTCTGCCCCGCTAAACTAACTGCACCATTTGTTACCTGGGAACTACCTGCCACAGTGACAAACTGATGGCAGCTTGAGGATGGACTATTGCTCACACGAGAGCACCTGGCGTAAAAAAGCATACGGATATAAAATCACATGTGAAGGCAATACCAACAATAAACCCAAACGATAAACTATAACAGCACGCATTGCATACTTATGTGATGAACAGCATTCGGTGCGTTCAAGATGATTACTGTCACCAAGTTTGCCCAAGCAAGGATTAGCCTCATCAGGAGAGAATTCTGATCCTACAGATTTATGCTTTTTCCTTGAAGCAAAATAATGATAGCACTCGTTCGAAACCATTTCTAGAGAATCAATGTATTTGCTGCAACATGCAACCTGAATAGCAACAAAAAATGGAAGACCAACATCAATTAATATGATCTCTAGCTAAAATACCCATAATATTCTTAGATCCTGTTTTTCAGTTATTTCGCGACAAAACGCCAGAATCATGGAACGCATTACGAAACTAATGCATCATATAGAGGTATTTTAAGTTGCATTTCAACTTCATGCTTCACATGCAGAGAAATCAAAAACTGGATAAATTTGGAATACATAATGGTTCTTAGCTTAACCTAATCGAGCACTTCTTACTCCGCCACAAAAAGGATTGCTGCTTGCAATAAAGTATCGCAGGAAAATCCCTTATAAACAAACACCAACCAACTTCTAGCTGATTTAAATCGCAAATTTCATGCAGCGAAGCCCTAAAGCTGATTCTATCACAAATATCTAAGGAAACGATCAATATTGACGCCTTCCCAAAAAAAAGTATCAAATCAAAACAATCGCAAATTAGGCGAGAAAAATTACCAAACCGTCGGTAGAAGAAGAAGAGATCCGATGAGAGTGATGAGGAGAGAGACTAATATCAGGCATCGAGGGATCAGATCGAGTGTTAAAGATTAGAATTGAAGAGCGCTATGTTACCGTGTTAGGGTTTCAGAGAAATAGGAAGAAAGAAGAAAAAAAATTAGTCCCCAATTTCGAAGATTTGGGGAAAGAACGGGGGAGGAGAGAGAGAGAGAAGGGTTAGGACGCGACGCGATGAGAGGGAGGCGATAAAGATCTGAAGGAAACGAGTCAGACTAGGTTGAGAAGGATGCCCTGTGTACATTATGGCATGTCTGATCGTGGCCGTTGGTTCTCTGCTTTCGAGATCCAACCGTCGGCACGGGATGAACTTCACACATCTTGATCGCGAACGCTGTCCTTGGCTACTTAGCACTTACATACCCCGTCGTTTCCAATAGTTTGCACTTATACACCCTCGCTTATTTTTGGTATCACTTATTTAAGTTTCTAAAAAATTATAGTTTTAATACCTTTTGTTATGCAAACAATAAAAATTTTCATGAATTTTCCCGTACGGCATTCACGAATTAATTTTAGAACTCTTTGGCCCATTCACAGGTTAATTTTATCACTTTTTTATTAGCCCTTAAAGTTCATTAAATTTACTATTAAACCTGCTATAATTCAATTTTAAACTAGAATTTATGTTGGTTTAAAACAAAACTAAGGAATGTGTGATGGTAAATTCAACAAATATTAAGGATTAGTTTTTTAATTACCTTACGAGTATTATAGGAAATCCGAGAGAAAATTTTCATGTTTGCGTAACAAAGGATATTAAAGTGCAATTTTTAAGAATTTTAGATTACATAAGTGCTATCAAAAGCAAGTAAGGATATAAATGCGTAAATAAGGGGAACTATAGTGTATTTAAGTGCTAATTAGGTTTTCTTCTTTTCTTTGTGATTAAATTCATAAATAAATTGATTCCTCAATAGCGGTTTTACAACTTTGTATTGAAAAAAATGAGGCGAATAGGTTTAAAAAATTGAGCTTTTAACAATTGCAATGTTTGGTTGACACTTTCATACTAAACTTTAAATTTTTTTTCACGTTGGATAGGGATAAGATATAATTCGAAAAATCTATTGATTTTTAATAGTCCTAGTTGGAGTGCACACGCATTACACGTGGTTAAATATCTGAATTACTTATTTTGGGTTTATTTATTTATAATAACTCAATTGCAAAATAATTTGTTCACGACATAAATTAATTCCAGGTCGCATATTTAAAGATTTGATGAAATTCAATAAAATAACATGATATCTTTACTGATCCAAACAAATAGCATACAATACACCCGGCTTGGTCCAAAATAGATTGCCAGACTATTGTTATGCTAGGCCTTATGTGGTCGTGACATGGAAAAATAATTGTGCATAGAAATTTTAGTTAATACAATATGTCCAATAAATATTTATATATGGATTATTTATTTATTTATTTTGATCCTCTTTTTTCTCTTTTCTTTTTTTCTTTTCTTGACTTTATCATGATAAATAAACATATCATATAGTAACTCTTTTTATCATGAAGTTCTCAAAGAGTACCCCTGAAACAACAGACTTATATTGTGATACCCTAGAAAGAAAGGAAAGGCAGCAGAGCGCACGTCATCCTATTTTAGGTATGCTCACTTTTTTCAATACTTAAATATAAATTAGACAAAATATTCTAGCAATTTTGATGTTTCAAACTATATCATGTTGTTTGGTATTACTTAATTAACTAGTATTTAGACCCGTGCAAAGCATGGTTCCTAAAAGATTTTCTACAAATATTAAACATGTTACCAAAATAAAGAATTCTGTTTTCGATATGAAGTATGGTCGTGGAAGTGAACCATGCGAAAATATAAATCAACATTGTATATTCCTTATACAATGTACTGGATTAATTGATTTAAAAACCAAAAAAACATCTTCCATTTAGTTTAAAAAGTTCCAAGGCAATATAAGTTTAAGATTCAGCGGATGCAAGATTGTATATTCCTTGCAGTAAATCTGATATTCTGACAAAGAAGAAGTTAACAAAAGAATTATAAACTAACCTATGATACCAAATGTGTAAGGAGCATCTGGATTGATCTCTCGAGGTGTTTGGAACCCAAATTCCCGAGCAGAATCACCAGTTTTGATAATTGATTTTAGATAAATATCAAACATAGCAATTTGATAGCGAATAAAAAACATTAAAATATTACAATGAAGAAGATACGGATTTAAAAATATATTGTGTTCTCAAAAAATGTCCAGAACTCCGACTCCGACTATGTCAAGTACTTTACTTTTCCGATAAAATAAAATGAGCAGATAGAAGAAGTTATCCCAAACAACAATGGAAAATAATTACTATTAAAACCTATGCTAATATAAATAGATACCATGAAAAGATTTAAAATGATATGCAAGTGTAAGGTAATTATTTGATTCGGATTTAAAAACTGTTGGATGATTTGCAAGAAACGAACTTGAACTATAAAAATTAGAGAGAATCCCCTTTAAACTTTTGGCAGTTTTACAAAATTATTAATCCTTAAAACGTTTTCGCCTTCTAATCTATCATTTAAGCCCTAAACCTTAAAAAGTGCCCCTCTGCGATGAAGTCACACCAATTTTGAGGGGGGTTCTGTGAAATTTACCCTTAAAGATTCTAACTTCAAGCAAAAAAAACTCAAAAAGAAGTATAAACTTTTCGGAAGAAAGCCCTAGAATTTTGTGATTACCTCAGAGAGAAGGCGATTCTTGGGCAGCATCTTTGCAACTTCAGACGGGAGGATAATGTGCCTGAATTAACCAAAAGATCATCAATAATCATCAAAATTCTATAATTCAAGATCAAATCGAACAAAAAATGCACAAAAATAGGTTTTTTTGATTGAAAGAGTACATGTACTCGAAGGTATCGTCGAAGTATTTATCCAAGTACTGAATCTATCTCATTTCTTCGCTTGGTTTCTGTAAATGATCAAGATTTCAAGAGAATTAAAGATTGATTGAAACCCTAATACTTAGATCAAAACCCAAGATTTTTCTGAATGTGGCCACTGCAAAAGTTAGGATCAGTGGAGGTTGGACTTCGGTGAGGGCGTCGGCGAAGTCGGCAACGGCCATGAGGGGGAGAGGGGGAGAGAGTTCTTTTTTTTTGATATTCTGAATCCTTTTCTGAAGAAATATTGAGAGAAGAAAAGAGAGAATCGTGTGGATTTTAAAAAAAGTGTACGGTTAAAGAAAGGAGGCGGAAATTTTCAAGGAGAACGTGGCTTGGGATATGCTGATTAGGATTTACTGCTCATTTTATTGTTCCTCTTTAGTTAAAAAAATAGTTAAAAAAATAGTAGATATACTAAACAGAAATCTGGTTAGTAAAATTATCATGTTGTAACTCTTTTTTATCATGTTGTTTTGTATTATCTAAGAAGGATATATCTGATTCATGATATCCATTACATGATGTTGATTTTTGGTACTTCATCTTTTATGTTAAGAATATTTGGCAATAAATTGTGCTCTTGTAAATTTGTACTTTTACTTTTTCAGTCTCTGATGCCAAGTCTATATCATTTCTTGCTATTGCCAAACCTCTGATTGATTTGTATCTACTTGTAAGTATACCTAAGACTAATGCTAATTTATTTCCCTCTCTCATATAAACTGCTAACAATCAAGAATTATTTATAATGCGTCTGTTAATTTATAATAGTAAACACATACATCCCTTAATTTATGTTTTCAATATTGGAAATGGGAATGTGTCTTCTGTTAGAATGAGGGTGAAGATCAAACCTCATTTCCGATGAGGAGCGCCGGCGAGGAGCTCCGACGAGATCGATGTCGTCGCGGGCGGAGCTGGAGGCATAGCCCAGGTGAGATTCGACGGCAGCGCAGGCGAGCTTTTGCTCTGCGTTCAAATCTCCGGATAGCTCTGCGTTCGCCCCCCAGAACTCTGCGTTCGCTCATCTCTGCGTTTGTTCGACCTCTGCGTTCGGCTCGAACTTGGCGTCGAAGCGGATGCTGGCGACAGGCTGTCGCCAGCCCTCCCCCATCGCCTATTTAAACCCCCCCCATCAAGCTAGGGTTTCGGTGCAGAGCCTTCCCCCTTCTCCGTTTGTTCTTCCCTGGCGGCGGCGGAAAACCCCAAATCGTAGCTGCGATTTTGTGATTAAATCCCAGCATTCAACAGTGCAGGTTGAGGGGATTTAAGAAGAGAGAGAGGGAATTAAAGAGGGGTTTTAATTGTGGGGTTATTTATTCTCAAGTGAGAGAAATTGAAAGGGTTCATACCCTTTGATTATTAACACTGTAGCTACAGTGTTTATTTGAGAAATCTCAGTTTTGAGATCTGCTCCTAAATTGTAATTTCTTGTTTGATTAATAAGAAATTATCTGTGTGGCGCCCGAGGACGTAGGCAGTTGCCGAACCTCGTAAATCTTGGTGTACTTTTTCTATTCTGCGTTTCTGTTGCAATTAGGGTTTCAGCGTTAAATTCCCAACAACTGGTATCAGAGCGTGAAACGATCTAGGGTATCAGAGCGTGAAACGATCTAGAGGAAGTCAGATTCAAGTGGGAGCCATGGCCGCAGATGAAGGGAAAATAAGACTTGAGAAATTTGATGGAACAGATTTCGGATTCTGGAAAATGCAGATAAAGTTGAAGTTCGGCGACGTTCGTGATTTGGTTCTCAGTGAGGAGATCCGACGGAGAGAAACGGGTGAAGCTACAACCTCTTCAGTATTGCATACAGAGTCAAGAGGTAGAAATTCAACCAGAGGAAACGGACGAGGAAAATCAAACTTCAGAGGTAGATCAAAGGACAGGAGGTCCAAATCAAGGAATCCAAGCAACAGCTCGAAGGCTATCGAGTGTTGGAATTGTGGAAAGACCGGGCATTACAAGAATCAGTGCAAGAGTGCACAGAAGGAGAAGGAGGCGAAGGCAGAGGTGAATGTCACCTCCACTTCAGGAGGAGACGACGCATTGATATGCTCTTTGGAGAGCAAGGAGGAATCTTGGGTGTTAGATTCAGGAGCGTCGTTCCACGCTACTTCTCAGAAAGAATTCTTCGAGAAGTATACCCCCGGAAAACTTGGATACGTATATCTTGGTGATGATCAACCGTGTGCTATAGTGGGCAAAGGCGTGGTGAAAATTAAGTTGAACGGGTCAGTATGGGAGCTGAAGGATGTCAGGCATATTCCCGACCTGAGAA